AATCTTGCCTTTAATTTTTATAATAGGTCAATTCACTCTAAATTTTAAAATAACGAAGATAAACGTGATCTGCTGAGCGTAAAATTTGTTATGCTATGCACTTGTACGACGAAGACAACATATGCGGGTGTGGCGTCCTCTTAAGACTTAAATATAAAAATTTAATAATCTACATTTTTGTCAAAAATGAAATAAAGTTATTTATATTTCTGCATCATTGGTACATGAAATTAATTAAGGTTAAAAATAAAATATTTTAATGAATACTTTTTTGAAGAGGGGAGGGGGGAGGTATGATGAAGTATTATTTGTATTCCAATTCTGTTAACAAACAACATTTAGACGCATCAATAGTTTCTCATATCTAATAATATAATATACAAGATAGTAATATCAATATAATAAATGAATAAAATCTAGCTAGAATTTTCAAATGTATACTATGAACTCTTTTAATAATGAATACTATAAAACATATGTATAAGTAGTAAAAATATATGTAATTTTTTTTTATAATCAAAAGTATAATTTAAGTATATGACTACATAAAACAAAAACTAACTTGTAATGTAATCTTAAGTGATTTTTTATCTTTTGGTTTTTAAATTATACATTTTTATCTGAATTAAATAACATAATTGTATTTTAACCATCTCTGTGTCAGCACGGAAATTCGGTTCTCCTTCAAATTGGACAACTAACAGTTGTATAATTTTAAAGAAGTCCATCACCTACCAAACTTTCATACTAAACAACAGCAGGGCGTACTTCACATTCACCTTTGCTCAGTCTGTATTCTGCCATTTTTGTAATACCGTGATAATGAACAAATGCCGCAAGAATAACAAGTACATGGAATATCTGATGACTTTGGAACTATAAAGAAAAAAAAAGACATAATAATCTAATAATAATAAATAATATGTTTTCTAAATTTTGAAATTTTTATAATGTACACATTTTTGTTAATTTATTGTTTGGAATTATACAAATATAATATTAAAATACATTTCTGTTGTTAAGTATTTATTTAATCACCTTAAAATTAATCTCAGCCTATATTTTAAAGTCATACACTTATTTTCCAATATTTTGTWWGAGTTCTAGTTCTACTCAAACATTTAATTATATTAATAATTGATAGAAATTATAAAAATTTAAAAAATTAAGAATTATTATCACTATAAAAATTTGTACTTGTTTGTTAACTGAATGCTACAATAACATATAAAATATAACACCTCACCACCACCACTTCACCTATCATGGTATTTCTTATATACCATTAAAAAACATTCAAATCAAAATAAATAATAATAATATATTGTTCACAACTAATAGTAGCATAGTACAAAATTAATATTTCAAACTAAAACATAAATAACTTTAAAAAAATAAGACAATTTCCTAAAGATAATTAAAATATAATGCAGAAATAACTCAATAAAATAAGTTTTTAATATTTCTTAAATTATGTTAATAGAGTAAATATTAAATTTTAGATTAAAGACTGCTTAAGTAACATTGCCTAGTGGTGGGCAGATAAAAACAAATACTGAAAAATTATTCAATGAAAAATAGAGATGAACAATGTTTCATTTCAATATCATCTCAAGAGAAAATTATAAATTTATAACCAACACTGAAAAAACTTTTAAAAATAAATTTTGAACATCTCATATCAATATTAATACAGAATATAGCATTAATAAAATTAAAATTTGAGAAACTAACCTTATTGGAGATTTTAATATGGGATATTGTTAATAGAATGTGTATTGTTTCCAAATGAACAACTTATAAAATTACGGTTTAGCAGTTCAAATATTGTGTTGTTAACTTAAAAATTAGAGTGTTAGGCCTTTTATTTAAATTTGAAGGTAAAAATAAAATTATTAATTATAAAATTATAAATCTGTGTTCTCTTAAGAGGACGTCTCACCCGCATGTATTGTCTTTGTCTTACAAGTACGTAACATTGCAAAAACTGTTTTGCGCGGGAMAGAACCGAGAATGCTACAGTTATAACTAAAAAACGAAATATTCACCACATAAAAAGGAGAATTTTGTTTGTGTAATATCGTTTTAATTTTTTCGATATCAGAACTACAAAAAAAGTTATTCATGCTTAAAAAACACAAAATTAATATATTATAAAACAATAAGAATTTTTTTGTATAAGTGATATCGAAAAAATAAAAACGATATTGCACAGACCAAATTCTCCTTTTTATGTGGTGAAAATTTTTTTTCTTAGTTATAACTGTATCTTTCTCAGTTCTTTCCCGCGCAAAACAGTTTTTGCAATGTTACGCACTTGTAAGACGGAGACAACAAATGCGGGTGTAACGCTCTCTTAATAGGTTTTACAATATTTGAATTTTTAAGCAAATTGTGAGCATTTTTCAAAATATTTGAGAATGTAATACAATGTTCCACATAAATTATTATTGCCAGAAATTAGAAAAAAATACTATATATACTATATAGTACTAAAGCATAAATATAAAATAAATTACTTAAATCACAATAATATCATCAAATAAGTTAATAATATAGGCTAAGTAGACAGTCTTCACTAAAATTTTTTATTCGTATACAATGATTTTGAAACATTGAATTAAAATTTACCACATCTATTAGTGACTCTTTAAACACCTTATGTACAGCAGAGTGTTACACACTTACCTGCTTTTTATGTCTGAAGGCAATATATCAAGCACACAAAATGCTCTGATCATCTAATCTGATAAAGATTTTTTGTAAAACAATTGGATTTAGTTGGTACTTTTGAAAGTCGAAATAGAAAAATATCAATAATTTTTAAAATAATTGGGAAAAACTAAAAATTATACATTTGTTTAAATAATATTATTAATTATTATAATAATTGTTTGGTAACCTTCATTACTAAAAAGTTAAGACAGTTCTAGATCATAAAATAATCTATAAATAAATTCAAAACACTTTTAGCACTTCCATTACAGTATCTACTCAATGACGAAATACACTCAATGATGAATTTTCCTTTTCAAAGAGGGGCTGAAGTCAAAAATCAAAGTATTATTTCTACTCCAAAATGTGATGACAGACACAAAATAAAAATAAAAAACTATACATCATTGTAAAGTTAATACATTCCTCACTTCATTCAGAATCTAAAAAATCGCCCAACTACTATGATTGATCAAATTATATATGAAAATAGATAACTTTCTATGTAGTTTTGTCATTGGTCACAGAGTTACTCTGATACAATACAATACATATTTATATATATTACTATGTATATTTATATTAAATGAGCTACATCACTGTGCCATGTCGGCATGCGACTATCAATACATTTGGTTTCGGTTTGGAAGGTCTATGCTCCAAAACGAAGAACTTGCGTTCTACATTGTAACGTTTTTATTTTTTAAACAGCACAAACCAATAATTTTTAAGAATTAAATGAAAAAAACAAAAAGAAACTTATGTTTACTAACTGATAACTTTAATTGTATTTATGTTATCCAAATAATAAAAATTCTAAAACATAGATAAAGTTATTCCCTATACATAGTAAAATTTTGGTAATTCTACTATAAATACAGAGCAAGGAAAGTTGTCTCGCACAAAACAATCTTAGCTATGTTGTATATTTGTAAGACGAAGACAACACATTTAAGGGTAGCATCCTCTTAAGAGGACATGATATCTGCATGTGTCTGCATCTTACAAGTGCATAACACCAAATTTTACGCTCATCAGAACAGAGTAGCTATGTTAGTTTAAATTTTTGCAATCTTAAAATACTCATCACTCGCTTTAAAATAAAAATATGATAAAAAGCGTAAAAGGTTGTCTAGATAATAATCTTTCCTTTAAATTTTAATAGAAGTCAACTTACTCTAATTTTAAACTATCAGAGCTACACTTATTTTCCTGAGCGTAAAATTTGCTATGTTATACACTTGTAAGACGGAGACAATACATGCAGATGCAGGTATCACGTCTTCTTAAGACTAAACATAAGAAAACTTGTTCCTATAACTTACATTGTAGGTTATGATACCTTTAATAGCATAATTCCAATCACAATATTAAAGTAAAAAGGGCAGTTTCTACCATACACTAGTTGTATTAACTAATATTACTATTAACTCAATATATTACAGTATATTCTTACCAATAAATCACATTTTCCAGGGAAAAATCTTTCTGGTACTCTTAATGCATACAACAAAGCACCAGAGATGTACAAGAAACCCATGAGTAATAGCCATCCGAGACTAATCAATGTAAAGTTGGAAAAGAATCCTTCTACAGCTCCATAGTGAAGTGCTGGTATAACACCAATCAATCCAAAGGTAGTAAAAACACCTGTAAATAAAACTCGGATTAAATTTTCCCCTGTAATCATTTTATTAACAAACAGAACAGCTGAATAGAAAAATTGTTATTACAATTATTTAAAAAATTAACAATAAATAATTTTGTGATTCCAAATAATAAACTAAATAATAAAGGATATTTATGTATGTAATAGTAATTACTACTAAGTAATAACTTAAGTCCTGATTTGTATGCAATACAAAAGTTTAAGGTAATATGAATATATGCATAAAAAAACATTGAAATTTGCAATTCTTTGATAAATATTAAAAACTGAATATTGATTTTTGGTCAAAATTTAAAGGGATAAATTAAATTATATCATAGATATAAACTTAACAATTAAAAAACACTGGAATAGGTTGAAACTTTTTTTTCAAACTTTCTGTACAGCCGGACTACAAAAGACAAGCATAATATAATGAAACATTTAACTAAACAACAATAAGGCATACAAAAATCAGTAGAAACTTAATAAGTGGTTTCCTTTTAATACAATCGTCTATACCTTTAAATTTACCCAGAATAGAAAAGATTTTTATAATCATGAATATTTATGAAATAAATTTTTATAATTTCTTTTGTTTTTTTTTTATAAACACAAGCAAAATCAAAAAAAAATCATCCTTTTCTTTTATAAATGCAAACATTTTCTTACCCTAAAGGCTTAAAATATACATTTATATGCACTTCTAAACATCTTTCAATGTATTCTCTGCCAAACAAATCTCAACTATTTTTATTGTACATAATATTCTCAACAAAAATATATGATATTTGGACATAAAAATCGAGATAGATACAATAAAAATGTATTAAAAAAGAAAATCCAAGATATATAGAAAAAATAATTTACCAATAGCAAATTAAATAATGTTGTGTTATAAAAATATAAAATTAGTAAGTTTCTTCAAATATATATTTAAAACATTGTAAATTGTATTATTATTTGAAAATGTATTACTTTAGCAATAATGTAATATACTCTGTTCAATATAAGGAACTTAGCCATGATGGTTAGGTTCCTAAGCCTACAACCAACTAAATTTACATGGATAACGGTACAGGGTAATTAGTAATAGCATTGATTATAAACTCTGATATTATAGTATTTATAATTAATGGTAATAATCAAAACTAACTAATGATTTGTATATAATTAAGCATATTTTTATGATTAGTATACCTGCTCTGAGTGGCCTAAGACCAGGATCACTAAATTTGTCCCATAGTGCTACGACCATTGCCACTAGTCCAAGTGCAACAATCAGTACTAAATACAATATCCAAGAATATGGCTCACAATAAAACCCATAGTATAACCATGGCACAAATGATCCCATAATCAGTATGGCAATTCCACAATAATCCAACCTTAATAAATGAATTAGTAATTAATTTACTATTAAAATAATAAAAATAATAKTTTTACTTGCTGAAAAATTTGCCAACAGTTTCTGAATGGCAATGAACAGTATGAAACACAAATGAAAAACCCATGCAAGTAATTGCCCCAATAAAATATATAATGAAAACTAATTTATCTTGAAATGATAATTCTTCTTCTGGTCTAGATGCAAAGTATAAAGTCATAACAAAAAATGCAATACATCCTGTAAAATAACGGAAATTAGTTTTTATTCTATTTTTTGCATAATATTAAATATGCAATTATTCATTTTTATATCACCTAATAAATGTGTCCATATATTTCCAGTTTCAGTGTGAATTCGAAAAATAGATTGAAAACAAGCTTGAAACGAATTCAATGGTGGCCTGTGTCCTGTATGCAAGAAATCATTATCCTGGAGCCATTGAGGTAAGTTGTGGAAATTACACACATTCCACATTTTGCGACCAAGATCACGGGCTTGAGCAGCAACATGTTGAAATTCTGCTTGGGCCATAGTACTAATATCCATGTTTTCATTAGTTTCATTGGATAAATTACATGCCACCCCCTAAAAATACAATGTCATCCAGCTATTATTTTATTTAACCAAGATATAATTATGTTGAAAAATTTAAAAAAAAATGAAAACAATAAAATTATAAATCCCTGTGAAAAATAATAATAAAACCAGTGATTGTATGTATAAAATAAATCCTTACATCATTGTTTCCATCTGAAGGGCCTGATAATAAATCGGTTTTCTCCGCTATTAATTCATCTGATTTCTATAAAACATACACATAAAATAGCACACAAAATGCAAACGTGATCAGTATTATTTTTTAGTAGTTCATTAGGTAAAAATAAATTCTAATTTTTCCAGAGCTTTTATTCAATTTAATGAATTAAAAATGTTTTTTTGGCAAATTTGTATAAAACTTTAATAAGTAAAAATAAAATAAATATCTTTTTTATTTTAGTGTCATAAACCTACCTTTTTTTGTATGAATAAATACTAGGTATAAATGTATAATATAAATATTTTTATTGAAATAAGGTCATTTGTTGTGATTAATAATTATGATTATTATTAGAAAAAGATTTTAATTTTMTATACAATTATTTAAATGTTAATATATGGGTATTTATTATTTATGAATAACATTAAATAAATTAATTATTAAAATAATATTAATATTTAATTAAAATTGATAAAATTTAACATAAAAATTTATAAAAATCATATCTTCAGTATAAAATGTTAGTAGCAACATGATTGACAATTTTGATGATGCGAAAACAATTGGAAACAATGTACATTTTTAAAATTTTTGATTTTAGTAATGGCCTATAATTGTTAGGACTGCTCACGCACTTTCTATATTAAAGCAATAAAAAAAAACACAGAATTGTAGGAAATATGCCTTTATTGACAAAATATTTTAACACAATATTATAAAGCAATTTGATAAATAGAATTAAATAAAATTGGTTATCAAAAATATTTTGTTATTTTGTTAAATGGAAGTTCCTCTTAACTATTATTACTAAAATATGATTTAATAAAATAAATATTAAGTTATTTAACTTAACATAAGCCATACTCAACTGTATTCATCTTATCTATATTCAAACTACATACAAATATGTGTTTAAATAAAAATCTACCCTCCCCTTTAATTATTTCGTTAGAATATTTAATCATTGATACTATTAATATAATATCTCCATTACAGAACAGAATTTATTTATCATTCCTCTGAACGTTATATTTCAATGTTTAAGGAATGTAAACAAATACATTGAACAATAACTTATCTAAATTCTAAATCAACATCAGATTTAGGCATTATGCATAACAGCAGGTATTTTTCCAGAATTTAAAATTTAACTGATAGATTATGTGCAACAAAGATTCATAGTATGAATAGAAAAAACACTAATAAACAGAGAATGAATTAACTTTTACTTCAAAATAATTACAATAATACATATTTTAAAATATGAGATAAAATTATTCTCATAATAAAATTATTGCTGAATACATACAAATAATTATTGCCATATTATGCTTTACTAACACTAGTAACATGAATTATTCCAGGGCATTAGTATTATTATTTTAGTACAAAACATGTATTTTCGGTGAATTTTAGTGATTATAATAGTATACAAAATTATTATAAGTAATACAATGAATTTGAACAAGCTTTTAAAAAGCTTGCTACTGGAACCCTATACTTTCCATTAATACCTAAGGCCAAAAAACAATTATTTAGAAGACATTTTAACTATAAATACATACACTATTACTTCATGATATAATATTTGAAATAATAACAACTGAAGTACCTATATCAGAGCTGACAATATAACAGATAAACAGTTAATACTTAATATAAAATTAGAAATAAATTATATATTTGACCTCTTTTTCAAATTTAAGATTAAAATATCTACTACTATTAACCATTTTTGTAGTTCTGGCGATAACTTAGACAGATATATATCTAATATTCATATTCATCTGTGATTTTTGATTACCTGAGATTAATTTACCACAAAACAGTGTTAAAACTAAACATAACCATTTTTTTTAAATATTTTAATATTAAGATATCAATATTATGATTGTTAAATTATTAGATATTATATAGCTTTATTAATTAAAAAATTTATAAGAAATATACTTACATTGTTTAAATCGGCAGAGGGTATTTTACGATGTCTAAGAATACTATTCTTTTTTGCTGTAGAAGGATTATCGGCTGCATTTTTTTCAGGCTTTGTAATTGTTTCAGTCTGTACATTTTCGGACATCTTGATATTAAATTCTATGTCACTCATCAACCTGTAATTAGTTAGAACTGATATCTTCAAACAGATAAGATAGATTTTATATAATGATTAATTTTGGGGCCTTAAATTTAAAGTAGTCAATGTTAAATTAACCACCTATTTTAAGTATTTATAATTAAAGCAATTACATTTATTTTACAAATTGAAATTACTTGGTAGTTGGAACTCTAATACAGAGAATACTATAATAACCGCATGTATAATKAATTTTTCAAACTTGAATAACTTTTTTGTATTATAAATTTGCGCAGTAAATGATTCTCCTATATATGTAAAAAATTTCCCACGTTCTTTGCAGTGAAAAACAGGTATTGATATGTTTTACATTAGTAAAACGAAGATAACACATACGGGTGTAGCATCCTCTTAATAATTTATAACAGCATTTATACACATTAAGTATCTCTATCTATCACTCAGTTTATAATTACATGAAATACTTAATAAATATAATCAATTTAGGAAATCTAAGCTGCATTAATAATCAATTTCAGTAGTTGAATTTTGACCTTCAAAAGTGTTTAATTCAATTTTTGCTAAACAGTTAAATTTATAATATTTATTAAAAATAGAATGGATCAAAATTGTAAACCGCCATTGTTTTAAACCTTGAAAATGTATGTTCACAAATGTTTTCATACATAAAACAAAAACATTTTTTCAGATAATTAATACAGACAATGTAAATAAAACTACTTTTAGCTAGGTACCTATAACATAACATTAGGTACCTGATATTAAAAAAAAAAAATGATTTATTATAAACCAATACTATTCATCTTTTTACATTCTATGTCTGTCATCCATTCCACAAATGTATTAAATCAACAATGTATTTTCCTATAGATAAATATCAATTTAGATTGAAAATTATTAACACCTATGAGTTTTGTATACATTTTATAGAAATGGTATGCTGATAAATGATCAACATTAAAAAAAATAAATAAAATAAAATAAAATAAAATAAAATGTCAGATATAACTTAAAAACTTAGATCAGAGCTATTTAAACTATGCGTCATAATGATGCCATGAGTATTTGTAGTTAGTAGTTGGAGCTTTACCACAGAAGGGAAAAAAATAATAATGATGACACTTAATGTATTGTTTAATTTCAATTTTATATGCATAATTATTAATTATTAATTTATTGTCTAATATAATTTATGTATTTATAAATTTAAAATACACTTTAAATAATTAAATGTTAGAATGTTATGTTTCTGAATCTTAAATAACTTAAATCATCAAAATGTTGTGAAGAGGCAAAGGAACTGTGTGATGAAGAAGTTTGAATACCTATGGTTTAAATGTGATATAAATCAAGTTTTACCAGTTTCATTTTTTATATGTTAAGTTATATTACACATAAAATTCAGATTTGATAGTTTAATACATCAGATCTGTGGCAGGTATAAGCAGTTTCTAAGTGAAAGGACTTTTTATACAAAAAACAAACTTGTAAAATTGTAGTAATAGGATGATAAAAATTAAAAATTAGAAGACGAATCAGTTTAAAGATATTTATAGTACCTAAAGGTAACGTTTTAAGTTATTTTTATCATGTTGTAAAGCTTTTGCTGTCATTAATATTATAATAAGGTTAAAGTTAACCATATGTATTTTCAAAATAAAATAAAATTCTCATATAGTATTTCTTATGCATCCTATAGAAACAGATATCCTAATAATTTATCAACATAAAATATAATAATATTAAATAATATAAGGTATTATATACAATTCATCAAGTTCAGAATGATAATGATATTCTAAGTTCTAAATTTAGCTTTAATATTTCTTTTAAAAGTACCGTAGGTATCTAAATACATTATATTTGATACCAATCAAAATAATAATTAATACTACTGCATTATTAATATTTTTTATTAATTACATAGTAAATAATTCTAATGGCCATCATAATTTCATAATTTTAATACCGTTGATAAAAGATTACAAATAAAACTACTTCTTATATATTTTCAACTAAAGTAAAGCAAATAAATTATAAAATGTAATAATTGTTCAATTTAACATAACAAAATCTTTCATACACAAACACAACAATATTCAGTACAGACACATATACAGGATGATTTTTTTATCATGAACCACTCATTATTTCAAAAAATATCAGTTTTTGAAAATATTTTTTTACAAAGTTTCATGTTGTTAAAAAACAATGTTTTTATTAAAAAATTACATTTTTTAATATTTTTATCCTTATAATTTTTTGTTTTTTACTATTTTGAATGACAACCTAGAGTTTTAATTTCATATTCCAAAGCCAAATATTTTTCTAAGTATTTTGATACGTAAAAATCGAATTTTGGACGAGTAGTTTATGAGTTATAAGTATTTAAAGTTTAGATTGGCGAAGTGGAGTGGTACGGGGT